ATTAGATGTAAAAGTCAGGTGGAAATGAATTCAGCTATTGCTGCCTTTTTTTTTGTTTTTATCCGAGAGCTAACTGTCACAATTTGAGATTGCATGTTATGAAATGCAACAATCTATAGACTATTAATGACAGGTTTTTATTTCCATTCAGATGAACAGTACAGAGTAGGTTTTGTATAATTTTCAAGAGATAAATCTAAAGAAAGTTGGGAATATGTATGTCACCAAAAAAAAAGCTTGTCTTTTCTTAGAAGGTGAGATGAATTTATACATACTAATGTAAATAGCAATTTCAAGGGGAAAATCTTGTCAGCATAAACAACAGGAGCTCTATGATGTCACACAAGGTAGAGAAACAACAAAACAATGTATTTGAAAATTATCTGAGCAATTTGGATAAAGAAGTATGATTTCTATAGTCACATAATCATATAGATTAACTTTGAATGTATTACTACTATCTTTGAAAGCCTTTCTCTGCACATGAGCAAGAGCCAACATAGATTATTTTCTAGAGATATCATTATTGTTAAGTAGTATTATATTTCCACTGTTAAATGTAAAATGTTTTGTTAATTATTATCTCAGTTCTACGTATGTATTAGTATAATTTAATAATTCAAGACACATACATTGCACATTGATTAAATCAACATTTTTCAATCCTAGTAAGTGAACACAGCTTTGAAATTTTTCTTCCACTGGCTGATAATTGAACAAGCTGTTGAATGTTATAGGATATCCACCAGAGAAGACTATATGGACATGTTGATTGTCTTAGAAATCCAGCTACTACAGAGTGTTTGGGATCCTAGTGTAGATCAGAGTCATTCTCAGGGCAAGCTTTTAATCACAGAAAAACATATCGTGGTCTGACATACTTCACTTAACAAGAACAGCTAGCCAAAAGTGGGACTACAAAAGCTAAAAGGAAAAGCTAAGGACTAGTTCCTACCCTAAACCATTTCAGTACTTTGCCAGAACTATGAACTTTGATAAAATAGGTCTTTGTTTTTCTTCTAGAAGGTGTTGCTTCCCATTTGTTGGTTTTCAAGGCCTAAGTGGTACTTCCAGCATAGTGTCAGTTGTGCTAAGATCAGGAGACCTACTAAGGTCCCTGTTACAAAGGGTAGCAAGTGACTTTTACTAAGAGCATAAATCATTGTCTTCAACAAAAGGCTAGAAGGCAATTCTAAGACCACATATGGTCTTTTATTACCCAGGGTAGTTCAGGGTTTTTACCCAGTCCCAAACTTGTTTAACCTTTTTAAATTTTGTTTCTTTGGGTATTTGCATGTGGATGCAACAGAACAGTGTATCTAGTCCTAATCTAATCTTGTTTATCCAAAAGAAACACACACACACACACACACACACACACACACACACACACACACACACACACACATACGACCAGCTCAGCTACCACCCAGGCCCACAGGCCCACATCCTGGGCCTTAGGTTGGCCTACCCTAACATCTAGCCCATCTATGACCTGCTGGAGTGTGTGAAGGGACTATCCTGGGAAAGGATAACCACAGGATCTTCATGACTCTGGGCAACAGGAGAATATGTGAAAAGATTTTCAGTGAGGTTCATGTGTGATGTGGTGTGCCAGAGTTCTTGAACCAGACCAATGACTCATAGCAATGAGCATTTTGTGGGTGGAGCTGAAAGGAAAAATTAGCAGATAATATGATAGTATACATAAGTGACTGTAAAATTTCCACAGGTTAACTCCTCCACTGATAAACACTTTCAGCAAAATATGAGTATGCAAAGTTAACTCACAAAATCAGTAGCCTTTCTATACATAAATGACAAATCAACCTAGAAAGAAATCACAGAAGTAGTACCATTCACAAATAGCTTCAAATACCTAGGTAACTATAACCAAAAAAGTGAAAGACCTGCATGATACAAACTTCAAGATGTTGAAGAAAGAAGTTGAAGAAGGTATCAGAAGAGGGAAAGATCTTTCATGCACATGGATCTGTAGGATTAATATAGTCAAATGATCATCCTACCAAAAGCAAACTACAGAGTCAACACAATCCCCATCAAAATTCCAACTCAGTTCTTCATAGAACTTCATTAGAGTGTTGGGCATTTTGATGTCTAATTTCTTGAGTTCTTTATATATTCTGGATATCAGCCCTCTGTCAGATGTGGGGTTGGTGAAGATCTTTTCCCATTCTGTAGACTGTCGCTTTATCTTGTTGACCGTGTCCTTTGCTCTACAAAAGCTTCTCAGTTTCAAGAACTTCAAAGGAGAATTTTCAGCTTCATATGGAAACACACACACACACACACACACACACACACACACACACACACACACACACAATCAAACAAGCAAAAAAAAACCCCTTGGTTAGTTAGAAACACTACTGAAAGATAAAAATCACTATTGGTGGTATCACCATTCCTGATTCAAGTTGTACTACAGAGCTATAGTAATAAAAAACAAAATGGTATTGGTCCCAAAACAGACAAGGTGATCAATGGAATATAATTCAAGATCCAAACATAAATTCACACACCAATGGACACCTGATTTTAGATGAAGAATCCATAAATACACACAGGACAAAAGACAGTATTTCCAAAAGAAAGGCAATAGTCTATGTGGATAGCTCTATGTAGAAGAATCCAAATAAAGCCACACTAATCGGCCTATATAAAATAAACTCTACATGGATCAAAGACCTCCACATAAGGTCAGGTGTCTGAAATGGAGGAGGAAAATGTGAGAGATAGCCTTGAATTCATTGGCATAATTTCTATATTTCCACCCATTGAACAAGGAGCCTCTGCCCCCAAACCAGGATCTGTGAATATCCTACTCCTTTTGTTCTTTTCTGTTTCAATTGCATTTAATACAAAATGTTGAACTGTGGGCTGGAATCACAGCTCAGTTGAGAGAGCGCTTGTCTAGCATCTGTCACCCTTGCATCTGACGACCAGAAGCCCCATAAACTGGGTGAAGTGTACATGTATACAATCCCAGCACATAAGAAGTAGTCAGGAAGATTTAAAAAAAAAAAAAAAACTTTTATTTCACATACCACTGCTCTCAAATTTAATGGCTTACACTTTTCTTTTTTCCTTTTTGGCAGTATAAGGAAATTAGCTCTGTTTCCTGGCAATTAGTTAGAAGTCCTTCATTTTCACTCTGTTGAAGACTGAAGGACAAATCAGTGATAATAGAATCCAGCACTTGGGTAGTCAGCTAAGAATCTTGTCTAGGAGTCATTTATCAAGGAAATGGTGCCTGCTCTTTAAAAATAATGCAAATTTGAAAATAGCTTTCTGCATGATTGAAGTCTTTGTCAATAGCCTACCACAGCATAAGACAAATGCTAACTTTATTCTGAAGTGATAGATTACTTTGGGAATGGTCTAATTAGCTGAATGTATGTATTTGTACATATTCCAAATCTTCTCTTCACCACTTATATCTTATATGCATCTTATATTTACACTCCTGTAAAGCTTAGTAGACTAAAATTTTCATTAATTTTCTTCTGTGAAAAAACCATAAAATATCTGCAAATTATATATGTTTTTGGTTTCTTTCAAACCTACAATTTCATCAATGTTCTAAGAAAGTATTAGCATTCTAGGACTGTCTACATAAACTATATTTATTAAGCAAATTCAGAAAGCATAGAGTTGATTACATGTATAATGCTGGGTAAATGGATACTCTAAAAGAGAAAACAAAGTTATTATTCTGTACAATTTCAAAACTTTAATTTAAAAAAAATCTAAGTATGCAGTGCATGGGTTTTAATGCAAACAATATTAACAAATGTGGACCTACTCACTGTTGATCCTTATTCCTAAGCCATCACCAAAAAATAAAATAAAATAAAATAAAAAACCATACCAAAGATCTATCAAAGGGACACAGGACACAGAACTTGTTTAAATAATGGCAATACACCAAGAGCTAGAGATTAATTTCAAATAGCAAATCTATTTATATTAGTCAATAAAATATAGTTGATCATATTTAAAATACTGCAATTTTAAATGATTTATTATTTTACTTTGTAGTTATTTTATATCTTGTCAAATTATTCAAATATCCTATTTCATTAAACCTAAACATAGAGCTGATCTTATTGTATGATTATTAAGTTCTCATGGTAATTATTATTCTTTCAACCCTCAAATATGTTAAAATATTCATAAAATAGTGTCATTGTTTTAACTAGACAACTCCAAATATACAAGTTCTTGTGACTGAGATGTTACACCCCAGTACTTTGTGCCAGCTTCTAAGCCTTCCTGGATGTCTCAGTTGGCTGTGTATTTATTGCTCACAAACCTTTCTCTGCCTCCATCCTGTCTCCTGACTACTTGTTACTCTCCTGCTGGGTCATTTGTCTACTTTATACTTTGCAGCTCTCACTGTCTAGGACCACACCTCTGAGAAGATACCCTTCTTTCCTTCCATGTCAGTGCAGCACCGACCTTTGGAATTGGTTTACTGGTCAGGAACCTCCTCAGCTGTCAAAAATACTTCACTCAGGGGAATGAAATGCAGAATAGTATCACTGAGCTCCCGTATGAGTTGAAACCCCCCAACTTAACAGTGTTCAATGAGACCTTTATTATTCCATGGCTCCTTATAAGAATGCTAAGTACACACCACTTTTCCAAGTATTCATCCGAACAATAAAAACATTCACAGATGTTAAAGCAAATTAGCTGCTTTCCGTAAACCAGTAGGTAGAGTTAATTATTTCCCTTCATATACTGGTTGAGAACAGGTGATTCTTCGTTCAGCAAATTTAGTGAATAGGTCAATTTCTCTCTCATTTATTTGGCATATGTTACATTTAAGATATCTTTCCTAGTGTTGCTGACATGGATATTAATGACATGCTATAGATGTGGGATTCATGTATTTGCTCTGAGTTCACAATGGAATATTCTAGAATGCAGAAATGGAATAACCAGTACTTATTGCATCGAGACTTTACCTATCTTGCATATTATTTAAACTGTGAGGAATCAATGAGGTCTGCAATATGAGCAGATCTTTAATATGAACAGAGTGTGTTTGTCTGTCTTCTGTGAGCCAAGGAGAAAAACCAAAAAAGGAAAGAGAAACAACTTTGGTTTGTAGTGGATCATCAGTAAGGTGCTTTGATGTTTTTGCATTTGGAACATAACTGACTTCAGGCCACGCTGAGAAGGTAGGTTGGAGAGGTGGAAAGCCTTAGGGCAGGAAAGCGATGCAGAAGTTTTCAGAAATTCATTAATTAGCTTATCTACCCACATTCCAGAATATAATTTACTCCACAGCAAAACACAGCTGATCCCCCAGTTTAACTGCTGAGCCTCAGCAACTGCAGCTTGCCATCACTCCTGCAGGACAGAGTGATAAGCAGTGAGGCTGAGTACCGTGGGCATCTTAATATTCAGTTCACCTCTTTCACCCTTTGCCTCGGGGCAGCTCACGTACTTTGCACAACCTGAACTTTAGCAGAATTTGGAAGAATTCACCTTCGGGAAATTAAAACTGCAGATCTAGTCAAGGGACCTATGATTACAAATAATTCACACTCTTCTCTTATTTGGCAATAGTTAGCTACAGTAGGGCAGAGGTATAGATTTGTCTACAAGTTTTTCTGGTAGCCATGTGCACTGCAGTAACTTTATTTTAAATATGTCAACTTTTCAGCCTAAATCAAGTTCAATATAGCACAAATAGTTTTTGCAACTTGAATATGGCACATTTTTATTCCTTCCTTCCTTCTAACCTCCCTCTCTCCTTCCTTCATTTTCTTCTATTATGCCTTCCTTCCTTCTTTCCTTTCTTCCTTTCTGCCACGCTCCCTTCCCTCCTTCCTTCTTCCCCTTGATTATGATGTCATTATTTTTCCCATGCTGGAATTGAACATAGGATGCCATGCCTCAGTCTTTCCAGGACCTAAGATTATAGGTGTTCAACACATACCCATTTGAGGGCATAGTTCTAAGAGATAGCATTCAATGCTCACATAACTCTCTTACGCATGCGCGCACACATGCATGTACCACATTGGTGAATGTTTGTTAACTTATGTTAGTGTAAGGTAGATAGATCATTCTCAGAATATATTTCTCCAGGTAGAGGACTCTTGACTGCTGATAAATAACAGCTGAGACCATGTCAGAGGACAGTATAGCAAACTGGCATGTTCAGGGCTATTGCTCCTTACATTTTGTTCTGCTGTTTATACCCACAGATTGTACCTAAGAATTGGTATCTTCCAGGGCTCCCCAGCTCATTTCTCTTGTGTCAGTCTTGGAGAAGAAAAAAGCTTATGTCCCATTTTTCTCTCTGTACACCAGTCCCTTCCTAGACCTCACAAGTTTTAGTCTTCAAATCCTTTTCCATGAAACAGATTAAAAAGAGCTTTCTGTTTCAGAAGCTAGTTCTAAGGAATCCTAAACCATGTAATATCATCTGAATTCTAAAATTAGTCCTTGGTGAAGGAAAGAAGAAGCAAATCCAAGTTATTGGGGAAAATTATAAAGGCCACTCCACATAGTTAAAAGGAAGGTTTATTTAGTGGATGACTTACAAATGAACGAATGGATAGGTTGCGGGGGTCTGGGGAAGGTGTATCACAATCCAGCGGTGTTCTCTGGAGCTCTGCACAGTCAATCTCCACCGTCCAGGGTCCAGGCACAGAGAGCGCGCCCAGAGCAAGCGCTCGCCCATCCAGCTCTCCGGTTTCCAGCGCCTCCCCTCGCCCCGCCTCCTAGGCATGACAGTTGCCAGAGTCTCAATGGGGGTTGGAACTTCCAGATCCAAGTTGGAATGGCTACCCACTACACCAAGTTAAGCTCTTGTGTCCATCTTTTTTATTTTATTTTATTTTATTTTATTTTATTTTATTTTATTTTATTTTATTTTATTTTACAATACTATTCAGTTCTACATAACAGCCATAGATTCCCTTGCTCTCCCCCTTCCTGACCCCTCCCGTTCCCCGCAGCCCACCTCCCATTCCCACCTCCTCCAGAGCAAGGCCTCCCCCGAGGACTGAGATTGACCTGATAGACTCAGTCCAGGCAGGTCCAGTCCCTTCCTCCCAGATTGAGCTAAGAGTCCCTGCATAAGACCCAGGTTTCAAACAGCTAACTCATGCACTGAGCATAGGACCCTAAACAATAAAGGCAATTTACAGCAAGCCAACAGCCAACATCAAATTAAATGGAGAGAAACTCAAAGCAATTCCACTATAATCAGGAATGAGGCAAGGCTGTCCGCTCTCTCCATACTTATTCCATATAGTACTTGAAGTTCTAGCCAGAGCAATAAGACAACATAAGGAGATTAAGGGGATACAAATTGGAAAGGAAGAAGTCAAGCTTTCCCTATTTGCAGATGATATGATAGTATACTTGAGTGACCCCAAAGATTCCACCCAGGAACTGATAAAGCTTATAAACACCTTCAGCAACATAGCAGAATACAAGATCAACTCAAAAAAAAAAAAAACAGTAGCTCTCCTATATACAATGGACAAAGAAGCTGAGAAGGAAATCAGAGATACATCACCATTTACAGTAGCCACAAATGACATAAAATTCCTTGGGGTAACACTAACCAAGCAAGTGAAGGACCTATATGACAAGAACTTGAAGTCCCTGAAAAAAGAAATTGAAGAAGATGTCAGAAAATGGAAAGATCTCCCATGCTCATGGGTAGGCAGGGTTAACATAGTAAAAATGGCAATTTTACCAAAAGCAATCTACAGATTCAATTCAATCCCCATCAAAATACTAACACAAATCTTCACAGACCTGGAAAGAATAATACTCAACTTCATATGTAAAAACAAAAAACCCAGGATAGCCAAAAGAATCCTGTACAATAAAACAACCTCTGGAGGCATCACAATCTCTACTTCAAGCTCTACTATAGAGCTACAGTAATAAAAACAGCTTGGTATTGGCATAAAAACCGACATGTGGACCAATGGAATCGAATTGAAGACCCTGACATTAACCCACACACCTATGAACATATAATTTTTGACAAAGAAGCCAAAAGTGTACAATGGAAAAAAGAAAGCATCTTCAACAAATGGTGCTGGCATAACTGGATATCAAAGTGTATGGGACCTCTTGAAACTGAGAAGCTTTTGTAAAGCAAAGGATACCATCAACAAGGCAAAGCAATAGCCTACAGAATGGGAAAAGATCTTCACCAACCCCACATCTGACAGAGGACTGATATCCAGAATATATAAGGAACTCAAGAAATTAGACATCAAAACGACCAATAGTCCAATTAAGAAATGGGCTATATAACTAAACACAGAATTCTCAACAGAGGAAACTCAAATGGCTGAAAGACATTTAAGGAATTGCTCAACATCCCTAATCATCAGGGAAATGCAAATCAAAACAACTCCTGTGTTCATCTTGCTCTATTCATCATACTGGCATTTTCTTTTCAGGAAAAGGAGTAAAGGTCTGGAATAAGACAGGTTTCTTGCAGATTGGTTCTAACCAGTGTTAAATAGATTGCAGCTTCCTAGATATTCATTTGCCTCAGTTATTGAATGATACAGGCATTTGCATCAATTAAAAATAAAATAATAAATCATGTACGTAATTTCTTTCACATTATTTATTTTCATTCTCTGTAGTGCAACTAATTTGCAAATTATAACATCTTGCAGAGTTGTAGCCTCTTGAAAATGGACGTGACTTTCCTTACCTCAAAGCAACAACAGGCTCTTCAATGTTCTGATCCCTAGGACCCTAGAAGACCCTTCCCCCAGAGTGTGACATAAGACTCCACATACTTGCCTTCTAAAAAATCTCTTACACTTTGTGTGATTTGGATCAAGTGAAGATGAATTACTGGTGACACTTCATCTTTTCAAGAGAATCACTAATGTCCTGCTTTTCTTCTCTTTTGCTATTCAGTGAGGGCTAGGTCATAGTTCTTCCTCACCAGACTTGGTAACTTTTCTCCAAACTTCTTTTTCTAAATTTCCTGTCAGCACTACTCTTTATGGAGAGCACATGTGTATAATAACTTAGAGTATGAACTTGGAAATCAGTCATCCTTATTTGCATTCCTCTTATGCCATTTGCAAAATTAAAATTAACATAAATTTTCTGTGAATTCTAAGAGCCCATATGTTCATTTATGTAGTAAAAACGGTGATTTGACCTAGTAGCCAGGCATGACAAAATGATTTAACTATGAGACCTCCTCAAACCATAAACTTAATATTTAACATAGAACCAGTATTTGAAAAACCAGCTATCTGGACAATAAAACAATTGTCATCTTTATCTGTTTCCTTACAAATTTTTAAATCATTATATTATTTCTTTACATTGTCATTATATGATAACATTTCCTCTTGCAAGGTAACATTTAAAACTTCATAAAATGACTTTTGTTAATTCGAATCCCTCAAAATACTAGTTTGTTTCCCTGCACCGCCTTCATTTTTTCCTCATGCATTGAGGCCTATTGTTAGTTTTCTCATGTCTTTTGTACAGGCCCTCTGCCAAACCATTCCACATCCCAATGTTATTCAGTCAGGAATGTTCGATGCTCTGTTACAAACAAGCTATAAAACATAACTGTAGAGAATGAACACCATTTCACATTGGTTAAATATTTAAGAAGTCATCCCACTGTAAAGATTAAGTGAAATTACTCAAAGAAGTTTGAACATATATTGTCCACAGCCAAGTCACAGCAGTACATACTGTCAGTGTGTGTGCTCATCACTGGCACAACCGGAAGCTCAGTGATTGTGAATGTGCACTGACCCTTCAAAAAGCCCTGTTTGTCTTATGCTTCTGTTGTTATCAGCACACACTAAACAGTGCTCTGGTAATCTGAGAGATATTCTTCATCACTTATCTGCAATCTGCTAGTGTTCACTTTTACAAATGTCTGGTCATGATACAAAATCCATATTCTTACTTACAAAAACCCAGGGATATAGTTTCATTTGCCCTCACTCAAGTTTGAATTTCTTTTTGCTATGATGTCTTTATCTATAACAAGTTGCACATAGCTACTCATTCTGTTTATTTGAGTGAAGCAGAGACTGTTTTGTATATATTTATATATGTGTCATCCATCACATTTGATGTATTAACTCATAGTGAATACACTTGATGAAAAGACTGACAGTCTGAGTGTGAACACAAGAACCTATGGTGG